AGGGTATGCAAAAAGTGTGATACGGATGCAGTGGAGGATGAATTCCATTTCCTGATTGATTGTCCAAGTCATACAAATGCAAGATGTAAGCTGTTTGGAAAAAATTGCTCATATACATCCATATTTTAATTTGATGAAACCAGATGACAAGTTCATATACATTATGAGCAATGTAGATAAGGAACTTGCGAACTATATTAGAGAATGTGGTGCATTTTAAATATATATATCAATATTTCATAATTTTAAATATGTATTTATTTAAACTACATATTAATTTCTTCCTTCTTTTTTTTAATTTTAATTATTAGTTTAGCACTTGACTGTATGTTCTCTTCAAACAGAATGATGTCAATAAAGTATTATTATTATTATTATTATTATTATTATTATTATTATTATTATTATTATTATTATTATTATTATTATTATTATTATTATATTCAATATGATATTTGATAAATAAAATACTACCAAACCTATGTGATTGCTACACACAGGATGGTGATAGATGATTGCATACTAGGTGATCGTTATACACAGGATGGTGATATATGATTGCATACTATGTGATCGCTACACACATGATGGTGATAGATGATTGCATACTAGGAGATCGCTATACACAGGATGATAGATGATTACATACTGGGTGATCGTTATACACAGGATAGTGATAGACGGTTGCATACTATGTGATTGCTACACACAGGATGGTGATAGACGATTGCATACTATATGATCGCTATACACAGGATGACAGATGATTACATACTGGGTGATCGTTATACACAGGATAGTGATAGACGGTTGCATACTATGTGATTGCTACACACAGGATGGTGATAGACGATTGCATACTATATGATCGCTATACACAGGATGATAATAGATGATTGCATACTAAGTGATCGTTATACACAGGAGGATAGATGATTGCATACTAGGTGATCGTTATACACAAGATGATGATAGATGATTGCATACTAGGTGATCGTTATACACAAGATGATGATAGATGTTTGCATACTCGGAGATCGTTATACACAGATATATCGTACAGTTCATATTTTGTGAAGGCAATGTCGTTTTATTCTTTTAATTCTTTCAACAAAGAATAAGCGTAAGCACACGGCAAAATATTTATGATTATACTAAAAATTGGTAATATTTTACATGCCCTGGGATTCCTTTGAAGGTCGGTAAAATTCCACTTTATGCGAAATTTTGAATAGCGTTCTGATATTCTAGCGCGGTTGGCACTTTGTTTATATGTACCTGTCCTGGTGACATTATCGTGTTGGACTTTGCTCCGTGGCATTGTTATCGTCACGTGGTCATGCATATTGCTATACTGGTTTGTGGTGGTTCGACGAACTTTGCTCTTTCAAAAAAATGCAGTAATTTTTTTTTGGTCCAAGGTTTCTATTTAGTTTTATGTCTAATCTGACTATTCATAGTGGATTTGTATGTAGTTTAGTTATATAACTGTGTCTGATACATAATGGGTTGGGATCACTCAAAAATGAAACATTATTAACGAGGTCAACAAACTATGTAAGCCGGCACCGTCGATCCTTCCCATGATGCATTGGGCACAACAAAGTGAGGATCAGAAGAGGGAATACAAACAACTCAGTACAGGTCCCGACTGCCACGATGGGTATGATGCAATCTGAATAAAATAATATCTTACTGTTTCTTCGTCGTTAAAACATATATTTGTTTAATTAAAATTAAATTAAATCCTTTTAAAAATCAAAGGCGAAAAAAAACACTTAAAATTTGATTTTAATCGGACAACTTACGTTTCTCTGAATATTTTCTTTTAAACGTGTTTATTAAATTATTATGACATAATGTGGTCAGACCATAGTATCTCTTAGCTGAATGAACCCCCAATATACAATGATGCGCATCTCTGAAAATAATCGCGGATTGTGTTGCTCTGGGGAAAAGCACGTGATGTACAGGAAGCAGAGTGACGTACAAATCAACACATTTTGCGATATGCCTGTCAGGCACCGGTTGCTACGCAACATGTACGGTAAAGTTTGTTGACCTTGGATAAATATCGTCTGCTCACAGTCCCAGTTTCCTCGTAATTTTCTCTTTAGGTAAATTTATATTGATCAGCATAGTATATTTTACGTATTCCTAGTTTTGAAATTACAAGTTCTTGGTAATACCAATTTAACCAAGGGTCTTGCTATCGCTCTAAATATCCCCGAGTAATTTACAGTGTATTTTTCTGGCACGCACACATGTGAAAGTGTGTTGACCCTTAAATCGTTACTGTGTAACACAGGCCGTTTTTCTCACTGCAAAGTCTTTGTGTAAAGAATAAGAGTAAAGACAGAGAGGTAGAGTACGAAGACATGAAATATATTAAAATTATTTAATATTTCCGGTGTCTGGATTGAAAAGGGCATCGTGACCACGGGACCATGACATCATCTCCCATCTCATTCACACATATTCTGGACAACATTCGAAAAAAAATTGCAGTTTATATTAACAAAAGTGCTATTTTTTTTTAAATAGCTCCACGTATTTATGTAAATATCATATTTGTGAACTTTATGATATTTATTCGTTTTGTAATATCATTGAATTCGACAATTTTCTATTAAGAATGAATAATAGCAATAGTATTATTATTATTTACATGGTCACCAATAGTAAACTCCACCAAATTCGTGGCTACACCTCATTATACGTGTAACTATAATATAAATCCATTCAGTCGACTGGTTTGCTGTTGTATTCGAATGAGTGGGCAACACAGGAGACGTTTCCAAGCACGTACAAAAGAATCTACGTCATCAAGTCACATTTTTCGAAAGATAATATTATAAAAATAAGCTGGAGTATATGTATTTCAATTTACCCTAAGGAAATTAGTTCAAATGCATATGTCTTGAAAATATTTTACATCCTATTGTTCTATTCGGCGGCAAATCAATAAAGATGTGACGTGGGTCGTGACGTTCGAAATTATCATTTATCGCCCATATTCTCACGCATACGGTTTGAATATTTGGGCATTTGAAGAGTGTTTGTAATAATCTCGCTGCATTAGTTTATGTATTCAGAGCTAATTTGCTCTTCTATATGTTAAATTCCTGTTATAGTGGGCAGGTTTTCGCCATATTAGGCTAAAAATTTGTGAATAGTTTGCGTTGGCGCCCTCCTTTCCGTGGGTCATCGATGGGCGCTGGCTCGGTCTATCCAATGAGAACCGTTGGGCGCTGCTGACGTCACGAATCTATTTTAATCTTCAATCCCGTGACCGGCTCATTTATCAACACGACAACGTTATGGCGAGTTTGTGAATGGTGCGTGTCGTATAAACGCAATTTATTTATCCTTTACCGAAGATATATCTCATCTAGGTTAGCGTTGTAAATCGCCATACTGCTATAACAGGACTGTATATCTGGCTTGTGTGGAGAAAGTCTATAAAAGGTAAAAAACGCTCGTCGAAATATGTAGAAATTTGCTTCTGAAAGTGGATCTTGCTGTGTCGCGCCGGCTGGTGTCGATTTGCAACGTGAACTACTCGGCATTGTTTTGGTGAAAAAGCAGACCGGCTTTCGCTATCAACATTGCAATCTGGGGCTTTTTAAATACCAGCCTAGAACCCGGGCGTCCACGCAACGACGCCTGGTTAATAACTGCCTCAAAATGGGAGAAGTTTGGATGAAGCTGTCCAAAGTTATGCTTTTGAAACTTACAAATGCAAGTAGTATCCACGTTTTGGTTGTTGTTATCTTTATTGTATTGAGTGCCGTCTTGATGCTGGATCTTCTAAATTTGAGTAGTAAAATGGCCCACATGAACAAAGACAACGATGAGTACTCGCATAAACACGGCCAGACTCGTGGCATTAAAGAATGGAAGAACATCCGTCGATCTGTTGGTACAGAACCGTTACCATATTTGATTTTGAAAGACATCGTCAATATTGACACCATCCCTGTCAGGGAACCGACATGTGCAGTGAACTCGATACTTATGATTCTAGTGACTTCGGCACCCGATCATTTTGATAGGAGACGAGCCATTAGAAACACTTGGGCAAAAGACCGAAAAACTCACAACGACTCAAACTGGCAAACTTTTTTCCTTATAGGAAACAGCCGTGATTCAGTGAAAAATAGGAAAATAGAAGACGAGTTTTACGAATATGGAGATATTCTTTTAGGTGACTATATTGATACCTACCGCAATTTAACTCTAAAAGTACAGAATGGCTTTAAGTGGGCTGTCGAAAACTGCCAACCACAATATCTACTCAAAACAGACGATGACTGTTATGTCAACACGCGATATTTTCCACGATTTCTCGACCAGTTTAACCCTAATCGAGACGGTTTGTACGCCGGTGCGATGTTCAATGACAGGGGAGTAGTCAGAGACAAAAACAGTAAATGGTATGTTTCACCGGAAGATTACCCAATGTCTGTCTACCCAAGGTACGCAAGTGGTACCGGATATGTGCTGTCAAAAGACGTATTGCAACGTGTTGTCGAAGCATTTAGTGAAGTGCATCCATTCCCCGTCGAAGATGCCTACACGGGAGTAGTCGTCCATCGTGTTGGTGTGTCGATGTTGGACACTGGGCGGTTTACCATGTATAACAAACAATGGAGAATCTGCAATTACCTATATTTACTGGTAATCCACGGTGTCACTCCAGAACAGCAATACCTTGCGCTAAAATACACAGACGATACATTAGTAGAGTGTCCTGGCCAAAAAGAATCAGTTACCTGGTATTGAGAGATGGTTTCCGTATATGGGGGCTGTTGTAGTTCAATGCTACTACAATGCAACAAAATGTAAAAAGGCTACAAAAAATATATCTATTTTTTCATAATAATTATAGTATTTTGCTTCTTGTAGCTTCAATATTTTCTCTAACTTAAAGTTTTGTATATATTTAGTGTATCTTCCAGCCACTAATAGAACGAACCAAAATATCAGCAACATAGAAATGCAAACAGTTGTCAGATTTCTTCCATCTCCATTTTTTTGAAAAAAACAACAAAAGATGTATATTTCACATCAGACTTGCCTAACACAATTTATTTACACAAACATTAATCTGTAGATGAAAATGAAAAATGATTTTCTGAAATGGCTGGATATTAACTACTATTTTAGCATTCGTCATATAGATTTTAATATTTTCCATTTAATTTGAATAGTTACTAATTTACTATATCTATAGCTTCTTAAATGTTTGTGCTAAGATATTGATTTAGATATAAAGTAACAGAGTCAGTATAATGCAAAATAAACTGTATGCCTGCCTCCATAAGAGGACTATGGTTTAAGATATTCCTTATGTAATTGATACTACCCAGTACCTAATTTCATTGTGGGTGTAAAATTTGTTGCATTTTAACTATTGAAACAAAGCAGCTGTAAGACAGTGTCTTTGTGATTTCTTGGATGGGACTGTTCATATTTACCATTCATTGGTTGACACTCAATAAGGGAAGTTTCCATTGCCTGCCATGTGGGTAACATTGAATGGGGATTTTCCATTGTGACCGACTGTGTATTTATTATAATAGTGTATACAGTACCATGCAAAATTCTTTTCAACTTGAAAAGAAAAATTTACTAAAAGCCATTGCTTCATCCAATAAATATTTACAATCCAGTGCAAGCATAGTTTCTTATTAATGAATATTTGACTGGTTCTGTAAAAATGTGAAAAGTTACAACTGGTTTGATGAGTTCAAACAGGTCAAAAAGAGTTGTCCATGTCAAATATTAGCCATTTCAATGCAATTGTCACTACAACAGTCAGTGACAGTCTGAACAAGTTTATTTTTCTAAAAATAGTTTAGCAATGTTGATTACTGTTATATCACAGTCTTAAGAGGACATTATTGAAATAGTATAATAAGATCTAGTATTAGTTAAAAAGTTCATTCAAGGTCAACTTGGTACACTCCCTAGGGTACCTTATAAAAATAAATTTGGAATGTTATGAATGTTGATCAGTTATGCTTCATTCCTAGACTGACCAGTAGCTGGTATAATGATTGTGATAAAACTTTGGAAGTTGATGTGCAAACTGTAAAGAAATCCAATATTTGGAATGTTGTCCTTAGCAAAGAGTACTTAGGTCATTTCATATTTTGTGACTTTTAATGATAGTAAAAAGGGAAAGTTACTGTTGCAATATTGATGGTTTGTGTGTACTCATTGATGCACCAGCTTTGTCCCAGTATGGTGGCTACATAATTCTAACTACTGGTACAGTGTATATAATTTGCTTATAAATATTATTTTCTTGAGCCCTTAAAGAGGACACTGCAATTTTGATTATTTTTGGAGAATGTCATCATTCACACAATTAAAACTATTGCAGCATTGACTTTGCCAACGTTACCCTGGTACTTGCTTGATGTGCATTTGAAAAGTTATAAGAGATGTTTATTTTATGCTTACACAAGTCTATTTTGTCATCTTGCCACTTGACAATGTAACTTTATTTATTTATTTTTTTCAGCTTTACTTTGAAGTTGTTCAGTTAAGTAAATAAGATTTTCTCCATAGTAGGTGCAGTACTGTATTTTCTTTATTAGTAGTGTATCCACTCAGATTAATGGGAGATGTGTTCATGGTCAAACTAAATCACATTTTAAACATCAGGTATATAATAAATACAATATTTGATATATGTGTAATTCTATTGCGAATGCACTTCTAATAGAGCACATATGGTACACAGTAGTTTGTTTTGGTGGTTGTTGAAATTGTACCAACATTGTGCTTATTTCCCCATTCCAAAACGGTAAAATTTGAGGAGACCTGCCCTTAACAAATCTTTATCATTAATTCTGCCTTAACAAGTATTGAAACATATTAATTATAGTAAATATTTGAGCAATAAGGTATAACATGGTACTATTTTTCTGGGTGGAAATTTTTTGAGTTTGTGTCTAGTGTACTGTTAATTTATTGTAAATATGTTGTGTAGTTTAACAATTCACATGCATTAATAACCATGATGCAGAAAACTAGTACAAATGATTTTTTTCTTGACAATTTGGCTACAAACTACAGTCACTGTTTAAATTTACACTCAATATATAGCAAACAACCTTATTTTATGCTGTACATTTACATGCAGGTTTTCTCCATAGCTGTTTAGTGTTATTTGGTGGTATTTCTGGTTAATTGCAGTATTAAAAACTATATTTTGTGTGTAAAACAACTGCATTTACTGTGTTTATGTTGTCTAACTCTTCCAGTATTTATTGTACCTAAAATATACAACTAAAAGTGACTAAATTTAAATTTACGCAAAGGTTGTTTTGTGTGAAAGTTTACAGTGGTCAACAGTAATGCTTGTTCAGTAATACCATATTTGCTCTCTTAGAAGCCATGCCCTTATTTAAATGACAGAGGTGTCTTTATGCTCAAATAAAACATACATTTTAATGATCGAGCATACAATACAATTTTTGGTTTATATGCATTTCTAGTGGAGTAAATACGGTAGATGTAGTAGTTGGTACAACCATGCTATTTTTTATGCACTTCTATTGGAGTAAATACGGTAGATGTAGTAGTTGGTACAACCATGCTATTTTTTTGGAGTTTATTTTCACTGAAGCATCCCTTCAACGAAAATGGTGACAATAAATTCCAAGGGGAAATAAAGTATTCTACAGTATTCATGTGATAACACATGTAAGCAATCACTTACTACTAAATGCATAAGTTTGGTCCATGATAAGTTTGTATTATTTAGTGATAACTATTGTTTCGTTGTTACCCTTGACCCCCCCCCCCCTCTTCTCCATTTTTATATTGGAGTGTTTTGTTAATTTGTTCATGACAAAGAAAGAAAAGTGTAAAAATTCATATTTATTATTTTCTTGAAGGAGTGAACAAACAATTTGTTTGTTTGAAAGGAGATTTTATTTAAGATGAATAATGTTGTTATTGTATTCATTGAAATTAGTAATAAAGTCAGAGTTATGTTAGAAATTGTTTTTGATTTAAATTGTGAAATGGAAATCCTGATCCTGCTATGCTGTTGGTACACTGAGGGTGTACCTCTCACAATTGCTTTAATTGAATAACTTGTATTGTAGAAGCTTGAATAGCCAAGAGCTTCCTTTGCTTTGTGGTGCTGCTAAGACCTTGAAAGCACACAATGACTGAAAGACTGGTAATGCTATTTGTACCCTTACTGTGCTGTGGTAGTAAGCTGGTAATAATGCAGATATTCACGTGCTAATACAACACTGAGTAACCTCAACACGTGTGCAGAAGGAATCATTTACATTTAATATGTATTGAAGTTAATTTATGCAGGGCAATGTCTTCACAACTTATGGTTCCTTGGTAGGCATTCTGTCATGTCAGTAGTGACCATACTCTGAATGTAACTAATTAGTCTCCATTTCAGACAAAGTTTAAAATAAGGAACTATTAATTTCGTTTCTGTCTAACTTTGTGTGCGCGATATTCTCGAACATGCTTTGACTGTAATCACACAGACCATGTATGATGAATTACCTATGCACATCAATTTTCATTACCATCTGATCAAGTATGTTTTGGTCCTCAAAATTGCTAAATTCTGATACTTGAATGTGTACGAGACCACTTCTTGGAGATGAACATGGTGATTTCATTCAAACTTTGTAACATGGTGATGCATAATTGGTTACAGGTGCATGTCATATATTTTTTGAGATCCAAACAAAAATGGCTGAATTGTGGACATTTTGTTTATGACTCCTGTGTGCAAAGCACAGAATAGGAGTCTTTGCACTTGGTATGTGTGTCTGTCTGTCTGTCTGTTCTACTGATATCTCAAGAACCATATGTTTGTTTTTGATGAAACTTGATGCATAGATTCTCCAGGCTAATACACAGATCAGGTTTGGGTTGAAACCATGCACTTAATTATCTAATTTGCATGATAGTTAGTTAATTTTTGGCTGTTCCATGGCTGTTCTACTGATATTTAAAGTACTACTCATTGGATTTTGATGAAACTTGGTACATAAATTAATTACATTTTTGCATAATTATTTTCAACTTTTCTACTGATATCTCAAGTACTGTACTAATCATCACATTACTATGAAACTTTGTACATACCGGTAGATGTCATACGACAATGCACATACCCTTTAAGTTTGGGGTTAATACCTGTTAATGTTGATTACCTAATATGAACAGACCTAATTAGTTTTGAATAAAAATCTGTTTATATTAATCTCCTAATTTGCATAATTAGTACATTTTTGGCTTTTCCTCCTGATATTTCTAGTACTAATCATTACATTTCAATGAAACTTGGTACATGGATGCTCCAGGACAATACACAGACTTATTTAGTTGTGGTTTAAATCTGTGCGTATTAATTACCTAATTTGCATAATATTGCATAATATTATGCTTTTCCATTGATATCTCAAGTTCTAATCACATTTCAACGAAACTTGGTGCATTGATAGTATGTTACATTGCGCAGACCTTATTAGTTTTACATTAAAATCTGTGCATACTAATTACCTGATTTGCATAATATTTTCCATCAATATCTTGTGTATTGTATTTTGGTATTTGAATGAATCTTGGTACATAAACACTCTAAACAACGCAACAATTTATTTAGATTTGGGTTTTTTATACATTCACAGATGTGATTGATAATGAAAAACAAGCATATTCGTTATCTAATTATTCTTAGCCAATTTCTGATATCTCCAAAAAAATAAGATTTAAACTTGTGGTAG